GTAGTTCATGCAATTGCTCAAAAATTTGTTAAAAAATAAAAAATTGTCAAGTAATAAATGTAAATCGGATCGTGACAGCTCGGCACATACGACATTCTTGGTATGTCATGACGCTAATCTTATTGGGTTGTAATAAAAATATATATAAAAAAGAAATTAATGTTCTTTAAGCTAAAAAATTCTCTAATGTAAATTAAAAGTAAGGAAAAAAAAAAAGTCTCGAGAAGCACATTAATAAATATTCGATATGATAATATGATACTTCAAAAATTCTAAAAGCAATTTTCTTGACAAAAAAAGAGAAAAAAATTAACCTTTAAAATAATATTCTAAAAAGAAGGAAAATGCAAGGTATAAAGGTGATGCGCAAAAATGAAAAAAATAAATAAATAAAAACATCGCACGAAGAAAATGGGTGGAAAAGTACGGTCAACTCCATCGTTGACCTCATAAAAGCTTAAGCACACAAAAAATGTGCACTCTTTTAATATTTTTTATTTTTGTCTACTTTTTATAAATTTTTTAAAGGTTTAATAAACTAAATAAATAAAAATAATAATTTTAAATGGTTTTATAATAATTTTAAATAGTAGTAAAACACGTAACAAACAAGGTGAACAATTTGTGAGAAAGAAAAAGAAAAAGAAAATGTTAATTAGTGTGAGTACACTAAGTTTGTGTGTGAGTTCCGTGTTCGTGTGCTAATCCACCGTTTTGTTTCCTGCAGGCACTTTCGTCAAGGTCAAATCAGCTTTTATTCTGTAATACCTTAAATTCTAAGATGTTATTACTAATCATTGCTATGTCACATATTACAACACGTTTTGAAATAGTGTGTCCCCAAATATCCTCCAAAAGTGGGTCCCTTGTCATGCCAACCTGGCATGTTGTGGTATTATATTTTGATTATTTTCCCGTGTGCAATTCATAGGCAATGACGCACGTCACGCACGTGTTTCCTACTTTGCTCTTACCCCATATATATAACAGCCTGTATCATTTGCCCAGTTCAAACTTAGAAACCCTTTAGTAAGCAAAAAAAAAAAAACCTTAATTATTTTTATATAATTCTCTGATTCTTCATCATAATTTTCATGGATTCATTAGGTTCATGTTCTGATCCAAATCCGTTTGGCGTTTTCGACATGCCCGAGATTCCATCCTTAAAGGGACATTCTGATGAAGAGGTTATTTTGGCGTCGAATCGGCCCAAGAAACGTGCTGGGAGGAAGAAGTTCAAGGAAACGCGCCACCCGATTTATCGAGGCATTAGGCAGAGGAATTCAGACAAATGGGTATGCGAGTTACGCGAACCGAGCAATCAGAAAAGGATATGGCTAGGAACTTATCCTACTGCAGAAATGGCCGCACGTGCTCACGATGTTGCTGCATTAGCATTCAGAGGTCAGTTGGCATGCCTGAATTTCGCCGATTCTGTCTGGTGCTTGCCCGTGCCGGTGTCTAAAGATGTTAAGGATATTCAGAAGGCTGCATTAGAGGCGGCAGAACTTTTTAGGCCGTCGGAGGAGGGTGGCAGGACAAAATTGCAAGAAAATGTGATGGATTCTGAGGGGGTTTCAAGTGGCAATTTGACAACATTGGACACAACAAAAACATTATCCGATTGTGATAATTTTTACATGAATGAGGATTCAGAGGCAAATAAGGAAGGAATTTTGCTGTCACCACCACCTTGTTTCGACCACAGTTTCAGCTGGGATGATTTGGAAAGTGATGGTGCTGAGATGGTGCTTTGGAGCTATTCTATTTGATGTCATAGTAGTTTTGGATAGTAAAGTGTGTAAAACACTTACAAACAGTATGTGTGTGTTTATCTTCCAATTGGATTGAATAGGGATTAGTTCGGTCAAATTGATCTGGTATTTGGTTTTGAAGTCCACTCAGCCAGACAACTTGCATTATACAGTCGTCGTATATATAAAATTAAAAAGTGATATTGTAACGCCCCCAACTTTATTGACTTAAATTTTGAGGTGTTATCGATATCATTTCATATTCATGCTTGAAGCGAAAATATTTAATTGAAAATTTAAACTCTCAATTTATTTGAACCTTCATATATTAAATTAAATAAACATAGAGTCACGAAAATTTAGAACATTTAATAGAAATAAAGAAAAACACAAAATATCTTAACAAAATTTATTGATTAATATTTTCCTGAGATTTTTAATTGTGCCACCCGTGCTCCGCTCAGCCACCATCCACATTGACCGATCTAACTTAAAATTTTAAAATTTGAAGGAATGAGTAATTTAAACTCAATAGGATATGTGCATTCTAAACAATATAATAAAATTTTAAACATGAATTTATGACATTCCATATCACATTTCATCAAGAGGAGTCGGAGATCAATTGTATTCTCTAACACATTTCTATGCAAACAATTGAGAAAACCCGAAGGGAATCTCACATTTCATTTCAATAAGACCCATATGCCAATTAGAATTTCATGAAATAAATTACGTAAAAAAATTATAATATTGTAAGGACGGATCAAGTTGCATCTTATATGAGAACTTCGTACTTTGATTTTAGACCCTGAGCCAAAAGTTGACCAGGAATCTAAGTCTGGTTCATGTATATCTTTGGATGATGAAGCCCCACCGTCTAAGCTTCATAGGATTCAAAATGTTTGGACAAGTGGAGATGAAGAATAGCAACCAGGAGATAGTTTAGTTTAAATAAATAATTTCTTTCCTTCTTAAAAAAAATGTAATCAGTACTTGAAATAATTTGTAGGTTTTTCTTTCATTGTCTAGGATTTAATCGTCCCTCATGTATTCTAAGATTTAAAATTTTATGAAATTAGATTTTTTTTTGTTCGAATATATTGAGCAGTTGTTGAATTTATTTGGTTGATTCAAAGAAAATAACACGTCAACCAACACAAGCAGCTATGTTTAAGAATTTGTTGAGAGCTTTGCAAGATCTTGGTGGGCAGCAAATACATGCTCCTACTTAGAATGCACAAACTAACTCCAATACTACAAGCTCAGTCGTGGAACAGTTTCGATGTTACAAGCCCCTTACCTTTAACGAGATGGCTGAACCTTTGACAGCTGATGAATGGATAAGGGGTTTGGAACGGATCTTCAAGTATCTTTCATGCACTGATGCCAAAAACTTTTATGTGCGGAGTTCATGTTAGTTGATGCAGCGGGCTACTGGTGGGTGTCCGTTTCACTCGCTAGGACTGCGCACAACAACGTAACCTCACTTGAGCATGTTTCAAAGATGTGGTAATGGGAAAGTATTTTTTTCAAGCTTTGAGAGATCGTAAGGAAACAGAGTTTCTGTAACTTAAACAAGGAAAGATGGCATTGGTCGATTATGAGAGGAAATTCAAACAACTTTCTAGGTATGCAACACATCTAATGGATATAGAGCAAAAGAAACCTAGAAGATTCAAACTAGGACTGCGCCTAGAAATTGGAGGAATCATGACATCTCATGAATTCACCATGTACAATCAGGTTCTATGACGAGCTCATGTAATTTCAAATCGATTAGAAATTGATCACACAATTCAGGAAAGTACTGAATTTTCAGGGAAGAGGAAATGGAATGGGCTGAACGAAGGTAAATGAAATGGACAAAACAAGAGAGCTAGCTTTGAAAGGTGGTCAGGATCCAACAAGCCGAATAATGTTTTTACTCTATACCCTAAGTGCAATAAGGCCCATAGGGTGAGTGTTTGTTTGGAAAGAAGGTATGTTTTCGATGTGGAAAGTATGATCATATTGTTACCAATTGACATGAACCCCCACCAAAAAGAGACAACGAACAAAGCAAAAAAGGAGCAGCCAGAGTCTTTGCCTTAGCCCTAGGAGGCAACTGAGAATTAGAACATGATGACAGGTATTCTATCAATATACAAAATACTTGCTTATGTTCTTATATACTCAGGAGCGGCTTATTCCTTGCTTATACTCTTTTTATTGCTAATCTCGTATTATTTTTCAAAGAAGCCGTTAGTGTTCTACAAGTTACTATCCCATTAGACAATACACCTAATACCAATCAATGACTATGACAGTCAGAATGAATGGAAAATGATTTATAACCCCCATGTACCTTTTAGAGATGAAGGTTTTCAGTGCCATCTTAGGAATGGATTGATTGGGAAATATTTACGCGACAACACGATGCTTTGAAAATAAGATAAATTTTTTTAGAAGTTTGGAGAAGAGAGGGTTAAGATCATGTACCAAGAACTCTTCTCCTAGATAAGATAATTTCGAGGACGAAATTTATTTTAAGGGGTATGACTTTGTCACACCACGTGCTTAATTCTCATAGTTATCATGTCCGAATAGATTTTGTATTTGTAACGCAGCATATGATTAACTTGATAGATGTTTATGCTTTCCTAATATTTATTTAGTGTGTACTTAATAATTCTATTGTTCTTATGATTAACTTTATCTTGCAGTAGATTGAACAATGCATGCTCTAAACGATTATCGTGCCAATCAAATTTAATAACAACACACACACATTTTAATGAAATTAAGAGTAAAATATGTTATTAAATAAATGTCTATGATTTTATAGCTTACTATCATTACGAAAATTAATTTACATATGAATGGAAACATTTATGACTTTTTCTTTTATATAAAGTAAATTTAATATTATTTAATTTAATTAACATAAAGTCAATATACAAGGCATTATCTCAGGTAATGGAGCCAAACTCACGGATATTTTTATTTACAAATTACCATATTTTATTTATCTAAGAATGGAAGTCAAGATTTTACTAATTTAAATCTAAACAAATTATGCTCTCTTATTTTGGCATGTGCACGTGAATGGTGAAATTTTCTTTGGCATGTGCATGTGAATGGTGGAATTTTCTTTGCAAAGTGATGTGTATGTGTGTAGATAAAGAGGATTTGAAATTTAAATCCAAACAAATTCTCTTGTATAATAAGAATGTTTGATCTTTTTTTTAAAGCATTTATTTTGAGTTAAAAGAAAACATACACCACTGTTATTCATATTCAAAGTTTTATTTAGAATTTTGAGTGAAAAGAGTGCAACCCGTATTGTTAATGCTACAAAAAATTATTTGATCCACTGAAGGTAGGCTACTATGTGCAAGTTGATCCATCCTTGCAATATTATAATTTTTTTGCATAATTTATTTCATGAAATGCTAATTGATCTACGGGTCGTTATGAAATGAAATGTGAGATTTCCTTCGTGTTTTCACAATTGTTTGCATAGAAATGTAGTAGAGCATTCGATTGACCTCCTACTGCTCTTGATGAAATTGTGGTATAGAATGTCATAAATTTATGTTTAAAAATTTATTATATTGTTTTGGACGCACATATCCTACTGAATTTAAATTACTCATTCCTTCAAATTTTAACATTTCAGGTTAAATCGGTCAATGAAGATGGTGGTTGAACAATGCGCTGGTGGCCCAAATAAAAATTTCAGGTAAACATTAATCAATAAATTTTGTTAAGATATTTTTTGTTTTTTTTTTTATTTCTATTAAATGTTCTAAATTTTCGTGACTCTGTTAATTTAATTTAGTATATGAAGGTTCAAATAAATTAAGGGTTTAAATTTTCAATTAAATATTTTCGCTTCAAATATGATTATGAAATGATATCGATAACACCTCAAAATTTAAGTCAATAAAATTTGATTCATGTTTTTGGATTGATTTAATTTGATATTGTGAAATTTTAAATTTATTAAAGTTTAAATTTTCAATTAAATATTTTCGCTTCATGTATGATTATGAAATGATATCGGCAACACCTCAAAATTTAAGTCAATAAAATTTGGGACGTTGCAGATATTTTACAAAAATATTATCCTCTAAAAAATTGCCTGTCTTGAAAACTTGTTTTGAAGTTGCTTCAACGGAGATCTAAATGTTAATAGAGGCTTCAAATGCAAAAGATTTTCTTAAAGCTGATATATAAATGGTATATATCCCTATATAACAGTTTAACCTTTAAGATTAAGTGATTCAATGCACTTTATTTCTTTGTGATTCAATAAGAAAGATGTGGAAAATGGCAAGTTTGTGGAAGATGGTGCACCAGTGGATAAACTAGGACATTACAACCTCCTTAATGGGTTGTTTCTATAATTGTTCCTCAGATAGATATACCTCTCAAGACTCCATAAATCATTAAGGATAATAAATGATAAGGTATTTGACGGTACGACGCATGTATGCTGCAGTGTCAGGAGGTCTCGTGGTGGACTTGATATTGTGATCAGCACAATGATCACCGTATGCATAGGTGAGGCTTGAATTATATTTGTTGTAATTATCGATGCAATATCATGAGTCTAGGTAGGCAACTATGGATATAACAGTGATCTCTTGAGTCTCAGTGTACATTATCGTACACACAGGCATTGGAAGGCACATGTTAATAGTAATGTTGATATTTGGCTCATATAGTAAACTATAGTGGAATTTAGGCTCAAATAGTTAAAATAAAATAAGTCGAGTTAGATAGGAAGTGTGTATGTTGAAGTTTGACCTAAATTTGGTTCAGCTTTGGTGGATTAGTTTAAGTGGGCTTTGAAGAGGTCAAAATATGGTCAAATGAATTATTTCAAAGTTTTTCCCTCCTTGTGAGCCAAGCTCCTACTTGAGCGCTTAAAGCAGGGAGCTTAGCGCTCGCTCGCTCACCAACCACTGCTTAAGCGGCGTGTGCACCAGTCACTCAATACCAGAATGGCTCTCGAACATCATTGTGTTCCTGCCTGTGATCTGTTTTGTGTTTTGATGCATTTTTTGATTTTATTTTCATCTTTAGGACTTGTATTAGGGTTTTGGCATGTTCCTATATATAGTAGACTCTTCTTTACAATTAGAACAAGTTAGACAATATTGTAAACATAATATTTTTGTAATCTTTCTCCATAGTATAGTGAATTATCCTTTCATTTGCCAAATTTATTGTGTTCTTCTTGTGCTGTCATATTGTGTCATATACTCTCGTCATTATTTCCTAACAAGTGGTGTCAGAGTTTAATGTTTGATTTATTTATTTTTTTCAAGGTTTTATTCTTGTGATGACAACCATGAAGTATGATGTTCCATTATTGGATCGCAATAGTAGATTTTCGTTGTGGCAGTGCTCACTCGGATGGATTTAGACGACGCTTTGTTGGGATTTGACAAGTTACCCTCAAATTAGTCTATAGAGGAAAAACAACGTAAGGACTAAAAGACATTTTCACAAATTTATCTTCATCTTTCGAATCACATTCTTCAGGGTATTTTGAAAGAGAAAACTGTAATTGCATTATAGTTGAAATTTGAGTAATCGTGCATGACTAAAAGTCTATCTAGCAACTTACACCTAAAATAGTGTTTATATTCTCATCATATGATAGAATGTACGTCCTTAGAAAATTTTCTTGCTGTCTTTAAAAAATTGTCGTTGATTTAGAAGTCTTGAAAGTTAAGTATGATGAAGAGGATTTAGGTTTGATTTTATTTTGTTTATTGCCCACTTATATATGTCGTTTAGAGACACGATATTATATAGTCATGATAATTTCACCATTGAAAAAGTATATAGTGTTTTATTTTCAAAGGAGAACATGAAATATCTTGTTGGATCTGAAGCTCAGAAGAATGCCTTGTTGTTCATGGTGATTATAAAATGTACAATTCGAAATCTAACTTCAATAATAAAATTTGTAACTATTCCAAGAAGAAGGGGCACATAAAGAATGATTGATATAAGTTACAGAATAAAGAAAATTGGCTATGAATTAAAAGGAAAAGCAACAAAAAACTTCAAGTGAAGCTGATATTGTAGAAAATTGCTATAGTGATGGAGAACTTTTGGTTATTTTTTTACGGTGACTCTAGACCTGGAAAGGAATGAATTTTTGATAGAGCTTGCACTCTTCATAGTGCTAATTTACCAAATTTTACTGTATGGTCTAACTCTCAAACTCACCTTTCAATTCGTAGCAGACTCATATAATCATCAAATTAGTGATCAATTAATTCAATGCATTAAACTTAGGGTCCGTTTGATATCTATAATTTTCCATGGAAAATTCATTTTCCATCTTTTGCCTTGTTTTATAGGCAAATTTTTCTTGGAAAATGTTTTTCCCCCAACCTTCATTTTCTTGGTTTTCATGGAATTTGTTTTCCCACCACTTTGGTGGAAAAATGGTTTTCCACCCTTTTCTTTTTTTGGCAATTGAAATAATTTCTATCAACAATGGTAAAAAAAAAATTTTCCCTTTAATAGACAATTTTCATACAAAATAAAGTCAAACAAATGGCATTCGGTATGATAATTTTTAAATTTTTTTTCAATTGGAACAAATTCTAGACCCAATGGTAAAAAAATTATCATTTTAATAGACAATTTCCATAAAAAAAAACAAAGTCAAACGGATACCAAACTTTCAACATTTTCCATGAAAAATTATACCAATCAAACACAATTAATTACACCTCCCAGTAAAACAATTTTTAGGAAAAAAAATTTCCTGTAAAACATTTTGTTTCCACTCATGTTCCACACATACAATCAAATGGACCCTTAGAGTAAAATCGACACATATAAGAATAAATAATAGAAATCATGAATAGAAAAATAAAGGATCACAAGTTGACTATATTGTTTGTTATAATATTAAAATTAGTTATTCATACTGTAAAAGTAAAAACAAGTAAAAGTGGAACTGTATCACCGAAAATTGAAGAAACGTGAAACTGCTCCGGTCTGTCTCTTCCTTTCTTCCTGCGCGTATGCGTGTATTTATCCTTCTAGGTGTCACTTTTTCCTCTCTGTAATCAGCTCTCTGCATGCATATATTGTATATATTTTTCCCTTTTTTTTGCTCTCTATAGGTGAATGTGTGTGTGTATATATTTTCACCCCAAAACAGCCGTCACGTTTGACTCCAAAAGTGCTTCATTTTTCCCTATTTCTCTTTTTTTTTCCTTTCTTTCTTTGTGGTGCTTCTTTCTTTTCTCGTTTATTCTCTCTTTTTTTGTTTTGTTTTGTTTTGTTTTCTTTCTTTCTTTCTTTCTGCTGGCAGCCGTTTTTGTTTTTTTTTTTTGTTTCTTCCCAGCCGCCCGTGTTCTCTCTTCTCTCTTGTTTTCTTTCTCTTTTCTTTCCCGCTACCTTCCTCTCTCCTTTTTTTTCCTCTTCCTTTAGCTGTTGTCTTCTTCTTCTTCTTCTTCTTCCCTTTGTATGCGTGTATATTTATATATATTTCAGCCACATTGAGGTCCAATTAAAATTTTCAATACAAATCTATTAAAGCTCATTTAACTCCAACTTATTTAATATACTATTTATGTCCAAGGTTTTATCTTTGAATTTTGCCATATTTTGCCACATTTTGCATTTTTTTCTCTAATTCTTCATTAAACATAAAGTTTTACTACAAAATACAATATAACATAAATTATGTAGAATTTTTATCTAAAATACAATAAAATATCATGATTTAGGGTTTCAAATAATGTAGAAACTACACTTATCAGTACCTAATCGTAATTTAGTGGGTCTATCCTTTGGAAAAACTCGAAAAAGGTTACAAAATTTGTGAAAATTTTAAAGCTTACCTTCAGGTATCATGAAGTTGAACTTCCAAATGCAAATAGATAGAAGAAAAGAAATCAGTAGTGATACATTTGGAGAAGTATTAATATTTCAAAGTTGAACAAATATGATGAAAATGAACATATTTTGTGATTTTTGTTGATAGACGTTGTCTTGTGAATGAACGACATGTATTGGTTACGGCATGAATTTGTAGATTATTTCTCTTAGATGTCACTCTTTTTATCTCAAAAACTTGTGCAAATGTTAATAACATTTTGTTATTGGACAAATAATTAAAAAGGCGTACTATTGATATTTTGTATGAATAAATAACGATTCTCACAAAATTTATTAATTCAAAAATCTAATTTTTTTTATTAAAATTGTAAAACTAATATTAATTTTTGACTGCATATGCAAATTTCCCTTTATTTATTGTTAGTAATAAAACGTGCCCTTTTTTTTTTTAATTAAAAAGAGCGAAAAAGAGAGGTGGCTTTATTCTAGTAAAGAGCTTACGTGATATTAGTGCGTGGCACCCGTGTTCGTGTGCCAAGCTACAATTTGTTTCCTCAAACTAGACATTTACGTCCTCCAAAAGTGGGCCCTTCCAGTACAAAATATTGTCCATTCCGTGTCCCCCGTGTGTGTTTTCCCTGGTACCCCCAAATATATAAAAATCAGTGCCATTTGCTCATTCAAAACTCAAGAACACCCCAGTAAGCAACAACAACAAAAAAAAAATATTACTTTAATCTGGATCTTGATCATAGTTTTCTATGGATCTATTGAGTTTGTGTTTTGATTCTAATCCATTTGAGTTGGAGAGTCAATTTTTCGAAGTGCTGGAGACTCCATCCTTAAGGGGACATTCTGATGAAGAGGTTATTTTGGCGTCAAGTAAGCCCAAGAAACGTGCCGGCAGAAAGAAGTACAAGGAAACGCGCCACCCGGTATATCGGGGTGTTAGGCGTAGGAATTTGAATAAATGGGTATCCGAGTTACGTGAACCGAGAAATCAGAAACGGATATGGCTAGGAACTCATCCTACCGCAGAAATGGCGGCGCGTGCTTATGATGTTGCTGCATTGGCTTTTAGGGGTCAGTCAGCATGCCTAAATTTTGCTGACTCAGTTTGGCGCTTACCAGTACCGGTGTCCAATGATGTCAAGGATATTCAGAAGGCAGCGTTAGAGGCGTCAGAAGGGTTTAGGCCACCGGAGGAGGGTGAGGCCATTTTACAAGAAGATATGATGGACGCTAGTGAGGTTTCGGGTGGCAAATTTACGTCGTTAGACACTAAGAACACAATATCAAATTTGACAACATTGGACACAACAAAAACATTATCAGATTGTGATGTTTTTTACATGAATGACGTTTCAGTGACAAATATGGAAGGAGTTTTGTTGTCACCACCACCTTGTTTAGACCACAGTTTCAGCTGGGATGATTTGGAAAGTGAAGCTGAGATGGTGCTTTGGAGTTATTCTATTTGATGGCATATGATCTATAATGCATGCTCCCCTCGTTTTGGTAGGATGGATGGTATAGAATTAGACATATTGACGAATAAAAAAGTAGAAATCTTCTTCATTATATTGTTAGATGATATTCAACAATCAATACTGCTTACCAAAATGTCTTCGTATTTTATTAGCTAGGCCTAGGATTATACTTGTAACAATAGTGGTTTGGGAGTTCTATTTGATGGCATAGGATATAAAATGCATGCTCGCCTCGTTTTGGTAGGATGGTCCAATTTTTTCACAATTTGATTGACGAGTTCGCTACCTCCATCCATCATATGGATATCTCATTTCCACTTCTTGGATGACTTTTCGACCAATTTAATTGACGTCGTTAGTCGTTACCTCATTCTTTATGTTGACATATCAGCTTCAAGCTTCCTGTCCAATTAGAATGAGGTTATTACTTGTTCAAACTATTTTAAAATTTTAAAGAACAAAGTGACTCTAAATAAATGTTTATATACTGACTTTTTGAACCATTACAAGCAATCTAGGATTTTAACATAATGCATCAGAATAATAAATTTGCAACAAATAATAAGACAATTTACTGCTTAAAAGTACCTGTAATGAAATTTCTGTGCCTCATCTTTCAAAGTAAAGTAGATGTACCTATTAGGATCATCCATTATAAGATTATTATAGACATAAAACAAGCAAAGTTAGGATGTGTTAAACTGAATATAACTTCAGAAACCCTTCAAAACCAAAACTGTCCATTTAACACTACTACCAATTCACCAAGAGAGCACACGGAGTTTTTCTTTCTGTTCAAGGCCCTCAATATGTCAGTCGGGACATGTAAGGGTGGCGTGAAATTAATGTATGCATTTTGGATATCTTAAACTACAGTTACTAAGAAAAAAGAATGAAAGACATTAAACAAGTTACACAATAAATGATCAAGCATTCATCAGGGGACTGATTATGTGGAGATAAATGCACCTCAATTCTGAACCAAAAATGCATTAGAGTACCCTTTTCAACATAGTTGAAAGTGGACTTCAGTATAATCATTTTTGGTTTTTCAATCGTCAACTAATATGGATTGACTAAATCATACAGTAACACCACACGAATGACACGATTGTTGAGTCAATTCACTTGGTTGAAAATGAACAATATAATCATTTAAATTATATTCAAATATGGGAGGCTAAGAATCTAGTCTAGCCACTAAATTAGACACCCGAAGTTACAAAGAAACTGAGGGATGTAACAGGAATCAGTTTTTTTCTTCAACAATCCAATCACTTGATCCATGTTTAGTACGCAATATGAACCATGATTTTAGCTTCTTTTTCATTCTTAATACCACACAGTGCTTTTAAATTATATTCAAACTGCTTGTTTATCAATGCTGCTGCAATTTATTCTTACATGCCACACAGCTATGACAGTTTGAGTCGCCAGCAACGGGAAGAAAACAGGTTTTTTACTTGGATAAAATGCAGCCTAATATATAAATATATGATCATGATTTTTAGTAGTCTAGGCAAAAACATAACTAGTCTTGGCAATACAAATGACTTATAAACTATTTGTTAGCCATATCTATTAAGCTATGGAATCTAATTATTGTTGATGTGCGGAGCCAGTGCGCGGATCGACCTCTACATGAAGTTGCTGTTAGGAATTACTGTAGCAAAGGAAGAGGATCTCACGTTGAGACAAATATCTATAAATCAATCTTGTGTATTCTTGCTTTTATTTTCTTTCTGCGATTTTATTGCTCTTGATAATAGAATTAGAGTTTCTAATGTCAACAATATCCACCCGCAACCAAAGTATTAAATACAGCCAAATTATTTGCATGGCATGTAATAAAAAAGCAATTACAATAATTTGGCACTCTTGACTACCAAACCCTCCCAACAGGCCAATGAGTATAAGTTGAACTAAGAACCCACTCTAATTCTCCTCTAGCTTTGCATATGAAACTTATTCAATTATAACCCTATAAGCTTATAATCAGCTTCAGTACATTCTTTTGGACCAAAGCAAGCCGGAATGATTAGAAAATGTTAGAAGTGGTGTTTAGGATGGTTGCCACGTTGATAAAGGTGTAATTTATTTAATTTGAATGTTTCAAAGCTTGTTTCCTAGTTTTTAGGAGTTGATTGTTTTCAGCAGTGGTGTGTTGAATCGTGACTTAATTCTAGGTCCATGATGTTAGTGGTCAGTTATGTTTTCATGTTTAAATTGTAGTTCTGAGAAATAAAAAATTTACTCCATCAAAAGGTTCTTTGTTCTTTCATTATTATTCTTCTATTCTTGTTGTTCTTTCATCAACAGGAAAATTGTTTCTCTATTGAAATTTTTCAAAATCAAAAGACAACAACCAGTATCAAAGCACTCTTCTTAAGGGACCTGTAAGTGTTTAAGATTGAATCCAAGTGGTTGCCATGGACGCAGAAACCAGTTTTTCATCGATTGCGCCTCCAGTTTTCGACAGTGAAAATTATCAAATATGGGCTGTAACGATGGAAACTTATCTGGAAGCCTTGGATATCTGGAAGAGGACTATGAAATTCCTCTTCTACCAAACAATCCCACGATGGCTTAGATTAAAAATCACAATGATAGAAAAACAAAGAAATCAAAAGCAAATGCTTGCTTGTTTGCTGTTGTCTCTTCGAGTAAATTCACTCGAATTGTCTCTAAAGTCAGCCAAAGCTATCTGGGACTATCTTAAGGCAGAATATGAAGGAGATGAATGAATCAGAGGCACGCAGGTGCTGAATCTCATAAGATATTTTGAGTTGCAAAGGATGAAAGAATCAGAATCTATCAAGGACTACTCTGACAGGCTTCTAAGCATAGCAAACAAGGTAATATTGCTTGGCTCTGAGTTTACTGACTCAAGAATTGTTGAAAAAATTCTTGGAACTATGCCCGAGAGATTTGAGGCAACAATAACCTCCTTAGAAAATACTAAGGATCTGTCCAAGATTACCCTGGCAGAATTATTGAATGCCTTGCAGGCTCTTAGCAACGAAGAATCATGAGAGAAGATAGAGTACCTGAAGGTTCACTGCCAAACAAACATAATGATTACGAAAAGAACAAGAAGAATCAGCCAACAAATGGAGAAAATACCACAAACAACTAAAACAAAGTCAAGGCAGGAAAAACTGAAGGGAAATTATCCTCTATGCAAGCATTGTGGCAAGAAATGTCATCCACAGTGTTGGATTAGACCGGAGGCAAGGTGCAGTAAATGCAATCAACTTGGCCATGAAGCCGTAATTCGTTAGAGTAAAAATCAGCAATAAGAAGCAGAAGCTCAAGTTGTTGGAGAAGAGGAGGAAGATCAGCTTTTTGTTGCAACATGTTTCTCAAGCAGTAGCTTGAGTGAATGTTGGCTAATTGACAGTAGCTGCACAAATCTCATGATTCACGACAGGGATCTTTTCATGGACTTGAAGCTTGCTGACACCTCCAATTCAGAATTGAATGGAGAAGTCATAGCAGTGAAAGGACAAGGCACTGTTGCAATACCAAACTGTTCAGGTACAAATTTTACCACCGATGTACTTTATATTTTTGAAATTAATCAAAAAATTTTAAATGTTGGTCAACTAATTGAGAGAGGCTTCAAAGTTACTTTCAAAGACAAGCACTACCTAATTAAGGATGCAGCTGGTCAAGACATGTTTAAGGTAAAAATGAAAGGGAAAAGCTTCACACTTAATCCATTGGAGGAGGAGCAAGCTGTTTTTTTAATCAAAGAAAATGTCACAGAAGTTTGGCACAAGAAACTCGGGCATTATCACCTTAAAGGCTTGTTGCAAATGAAAGTAAAACTAATGGCATGTGATCTACCCGAGTTTGATGATCACTTACCAAACTGCAAGGCATGTCAGTTTTGTGAGCAAAGCATAAAATTGTTTACTAAGGTGGTTTGGAAAGCTTCAAGAAAGTTGCAATTAATTCATACAGACATTGCAGCCCATCAAAGAAAACCTTTTTTTGCATTTAAAATTGTTTACTAAGGTAGTCTTTACTACGTTGCATTTATTGATGATTTCACAAAGATGTGTTGGATATTCTTTCTGAAGCACAAATCATAGGTAGCGCGAATTTTCTAGAACTTCAAAGCCAGAGTTGAGAATGAGAGTGGTTGTACAATTCAAATTCTCATATCAAACAAGGGCAAGGAGTATACATCTGAAGCATTCAACCAGTTTTGTAAGGAGGTAGGCATTCAACGTCAGCTAACAACCCCACACACTCGATAACAAAATGGTCTTAGTGAGAGAATGAATAGACTCATATTTGAGATGACTCGATACATGCTATATGAAAAGAACTTACCAAAGCAATTCTGGGTAGAAGCAGCAAACACTGCTATTTTTTGGCAAAATCGACTCCCAACAAAAGCTATAAAGAACTAGACACTGTTTGAAGCTTGGTGTGGACTCAACCCATCTCTAAACTTCCTTAAAATATTTGGTTATTTATGCTTTACTCACATTCCACAGACAAATCATGATAAATTAGACAAAAGAGCATCACCAAACATCTTCATTGGTTACAACAATGTCACCAAAGCTTACAAAGTTTTCCAGCCACAAACTGGGAAAATTGTCATCAATAGGGATACACATTTTGTAGAGATGAAGAATGGAACTAGGATGAAGCAAAGAAAATAATCAAGCTTCAAATGACATGAAGCTCAATTTTCCTCTTAGAAATACAGTTGAACAAAGCTTTGAAGATTGGCAAAATGAGATAGTGGATGACACTTCAGGGGCATTAGATTGCTTTCTGATGTATATCAGAGATGCAACATTGTAGTTTATGAGCCTATTGGTTTTGATTAAGCAAAACTTGATCAAAACTGGATGGTTGCAATGAAGGAGGAGTTGTATATGATTGAGAAAAACAAGATATAGCAGCTTGTTAACAGACCTCAAGATAGAAAAGTCATTGGGGGGCAAATGGGTGTTCAGAACTAAGCTCAA